AAAAAAAGAAATAGCAAACACTCGTTTATTGTCTATTATACGGTCAATTACGACGTGAATGAATACGTGAATACGCCTCTGTAACCTTATATCTCTTTTGTAACACAAATTTCAATTAGGCATACACATTACCTTTCGGTTTACCGCAAAATAAAGTTGTCAGTAGTAATATATCTGCTTTATTATTCCCTTACCTATATTGTTGATGATGTATAAATCTTACATTTTGACCAATCTTACTTCGGACGAAGCCTTATTCTATGGCTAGAGCAACTAGTGAACCATGACTATATAAACATTTCAGTTTATCTTATTGCTTTCTGATGAAAAGTGAACCGGAAAATTATCAATTACAATGGAAAGTATGAAGACACAAATATCTAATTCCGTTAATATATTTTTATTTCAATACACTGTGAAAGTATCTGACACTGTCGTAATGCTCCATTTTACAAAACGTAATTAACACTGGTAACGTATCTACGAAAGGTTGATCGAAGTGCCAACTCACTATTATTTATTTTCTTTGTTGTACCTACCTAGATTCTATCAAAATCTGAAACAGCTAGGATTCTACATTCAATCTAATTTCTAATTTTTTTAGTAATTTCTTGAATGTGTTAACCTTTTAGTCATTAGATATGTACAGACGGCTTCACGTCAGGTTACCACAATATGGCAAATATCTCTCAATACTACCTCTCAAAACATTAAGGTCGAAAATCAAGTGGACAAAGACATATTTGTATAACCTGATATGCTGTTGACTGTACTATTAGGTATTTCTCGTATTTTAACGTCGGTTTTAGAATAAAATATTTAGTGATAAGTAAACAAAGGGTGTAAGTACTGATTATTATAGGTACTATTGGTATTTAAGCTTGCAAAAAAAAACTGCAAATCCAAACCAAGTGATTTTTATGTTATGTATTTGGAATAGGTAATTAGCACTGAACATAGATCTGTCTCTATGTTCTGTGGTAATTAGGTATGCCTGAAGAAATATCCGCATCGAATTGAAAACCTCTTTTTAAAAAAGTTTGGTAAAGACTTTGAAGTAAGATGAACCGAAAAGAAAAAAACATATATAAATAGGTAGGTCGAGTAAATAATCTATATTCACATAAACTCATGAAAAGTACTTTAGAATTTTTTGATAAAAAGAACGAGCACTCTAAACAACTTCTACTATCTAATTGTCATAAAAAATACCTATTTTTTATTAAATTAATTTAGATTATAGCCATTGACCTACTTCCGAAAAAATATAAACATTTACTATCAAAATTATAATAAAATACAATACATAATTATGATATAATCGCATCTTCACTAAGTGCACCTATAAGTACCTACTATATCTATTATATCTAATAATAGGTTTATGTGTATCTACCACAGAAATATTTATTTCTGTGGTATCTACACATCTACCTATATGATATGTACCGAGTATGTATTACAAAACACGATTTTATGCACGTTTAGATAACGCTATGGTTGAACGTTGTATTATAATTTCAGTAGCTGTAATTTACGCAACATACCTACAACAGTTTCACCAACGTCGGAAAAGGAAGTTGATTCGACTGCGTTACGCTTGGACGAATTAAAAAAATATTCGCCATACATATGGATACTCAATAAGCAACAAACAATTTACTGTTATGTAACTAAATAGTAGTTATATAAAGACGCTTGCAGTACATTATATACTTACTATATTATTTTCTTTGTGGGCTTATTAGGGCGGTTAAATCAGTGACCCCTGTCCCAATAGTCGTTTATCGCGACTTCGCCGTAATTATAGTGAAAGAATTTTAAAAATCTGTCCAGTTGTTTTGGTAGCCGTTCAAAGCAAAAAAACAAACAATTCATCAAATCACTCCTGTTTGTAATATATTATGTTTCTGCTGCGTTCCCAAATTACGTGGGATTGGCGCAGTGTGTTCTTTTACTCATCTCTATACTAATTCCCTTCACTTTCATATCATGCCTCACACGGTTTATTCATATTTCTGTGATATTCATTTCTTATCACACACTTAATAATATTCATTTCATCCCTTCTCACATGTTCGTACATATGTATATACTATAATAATATAACGATACGAGTTTCCCATCAAAAGAAGATTATCGCTTGCGTTGATGCCTACAGTTCATAACATGAATGTATTATGATTTTACCAAACACCAATTAAAGGTTTTTGAGAATAAGTAAAAGAGAACTCGGCTTATACACACAGCAGCGCCCACTAGACGTAGTGAAGTAGTGGGCCTACTTAGGTACTTACGCCAAAGAATATGGTAAAAAAGCCTATCAACGTGTACGAACACACTGAGAACGATATTTAGGTGCGAGTCTCTTCTGATGTCTAAAGAGTATGAGATGAGAGTGGGATGCGCGGCACACATGACACACTTCGCACAGAAACTGAACGTAACTAATAAGTCTATTTCGAATACACGGTGAGCTCGTGACCGAAATGTGCAAGAGCTTACTAAACCTTGATATTTCAATAAGTTGAAGTACTAAGATAACACTCAAACAAGGTAATAACACTCAGTACCCAATGCATAATGCTGGGCTGACGTCAACCTGATAGCGCCACGCTATATCTTCTAAACTATAGCACTCACACACCAGAAGCCAAGAATTATCGTTTTCGGGTTGTCATTAAAACTTAAGCTAAAAAGTCGACTGAGAAATTCCAAGTTCCACAGAGAGCGATGGAAAGAGCAATGCTCGGTATTACCCTGCGTGACCGCAAGAAAAACGAATGCATCAGAATGAAGACAGGACTGGAGGTCGTTATTGCGTAATTACAGAAATAGATAGAGATGCGCGGGACATGTAGCACGCATAGACAATAGTAAGTGGACAAAACGACTTCTGGAATGGAGACCACGTGCTAACAACAGATCACATGGTCATCCATCCTAAGAGATGGGTTGTTGATATTTGACCACACGTGGGTCATGATTGGATGCTGAAAGCACAGGATCGCATGGAGGTGGCGTATGTTCAGAACCGGACACAGAATAGCTGAGTGCTTAGTGTAAGTTTTTTTGACGTTTTCGTTCACTGTCGATCGTGAGCGCGTTAAGATTTTAGTATGGAATCCGGTACAGCGCCCTAGCGGTAACTACCAAGAACTACAAATCTACATAACGCGCTTACTAGTGAATGCGTTAGCATAAAAATTACACTAACCACTCTGAATATGATGATAATTACAAACTCATTCTTTTAAAATGTCAAGTAATTTTAGCATAAATCCATAAAACATTGAAACTTGACATCCTACGAGTATTCATCACTTTAACCATGAAGTGGAATAAATTATGCTAATGAAATATTCTAGTCTCATATTATTATAGCTTCATAGAGGCCTATTGGTTTGCGAAGCTTAGATAATAAAAATAAAAATGTTATCTATACATAAAAGGAGATGTCCTGATGACATACTGACTGACAGATGATTTTCGCGTTCGTGTCTTATTTCTGTACATACATGCTTCTCTTGACCTACATAAAGTTTTAACGAGAGATGCATTGTATTACGCCTACTGATAGACAACGCACAGCCTAAACCGCTGGTCGTAAAGACTTTCACCAACTGGACACACGTGTGTCTGGTCTTCTGTGTCGAGTTGGTGTAAAACCCGGGAAAAACTGTTATAATATATTCGCTTTCATTGGTGGGCGGTGCAGTGGCGAACTAACCTAATCTGAAGCCCGGGGAGGCAATAAATCCGGATCGACAAGTACGTCCAACTTGATATTGCATTCACACATCGCTTTAACTTTATTGTAAACTTTATTTTTGTTAACTTCATTGTATTACTAGCTTTTGCCCGCGACTTCGTCCGCGTGGTAAAGTTGCTTTGAGCAGCATTTCTAACGAATATTTATTCATTAAATATAATGAATATATTGTATAAAATATTATCGTGTAAAATACCTGAAAAAAAAAGTCTTATCTTCTAAGCTTATGCCCTTAGGCGTGGAATTTATCAAAATCCCTTTTTTAGAGAATGCCTACGTCATAGTAGCCTTATTTATACAAATTCTCAGCCCGATCGGTTTAAAACTGACAAAGTTTCATACAGAATTTCATCCCCTATTTTATCACCTTGGGGACAGAATTGATCAAAATCCTTTCTTGATGGATGCCTACGTCATAACATCTACCTGTATGCCAAATTTCAGCCCGATCCGTCCAGTGGTTTGGGTTGTGCGTTGTTAGATCACTATGTCAGTCAGTCACCTTTGAGTTATATATATATTTAGATTATTTTCCCGTGGGAATGCGTCATTTTCCCGCGATAAAAAGTAGCCTATGTCCTTTCATGGGTATTAAAATATTTCCATACCAAATTTCATGCAAATTGATTCAGTGGTTTAGGCGTGATTTAGTAACAGACAGACAGAGTTACTTTCGCATTTATAATATTAGTATAGACTGATTTTGGCGGATGGCCACAGCAATTTGAAGCCCCCCGAAACTGGAGGCCCGGAACGAACCGCCTCTTCGATCCACTGGGGGAAACGGCTGTGGATTTCCGAAAATGTAAAAAAACTGTCGCATGAATTTACTCGGATATTGATATCAACCATGTATTTTTTTTACTATCAACATAAATCGTCGGGGCGTGGGAAGCAGACTACCCTATATCTACCGCACGCCTGTATGAATTCACACGAATCTATACCTTTTGTATTAGATCTTAAGGATGTTTTTTAACATCCTCCGTCATTTCATCATGTGGTGTTAGATCACATGTCTGGTTTTCCAATTCTCTGCGACATTTATATCTATCTAATCATATAAAATAGTAATAGAGTAGCAATTATACAATTTATTGTGCCACTCTTTTTAGTGGTTACATCCATTTGCGAGTCACGAACTCGCCATAACAAAGATAGCATACTTATTTTTTACTTGAATAAGCATAAATTAAAAATCGGTTTGCTTAAAAAAAACAAGTAATTAAATAAAGATATTTATGTATATTCCTTTTCTTATAAAATTATTTACAACACCATTATTATGCAATATATGTTGTCATATAAAACATTACAATTGAGATAAATTAACATTTTTTTCTAGGCTAATATACAGCGCATTACAATAACTAAACTAATTTTTAACTTAATTACAGATCAATTGATTTTAGGCACCATTCTCCCAACGAAATGTAAAGGTCAGTGGAGACTGAAACAATCATGGCGCATAAAATATAACATTCATAAATATAAACATTAAAAATACTAAGATAAATCATTTAGTATAAAATTATTTAGACATCGATTAGAACTGGCGGCAGGTGGTGGGTATACCGCGAGTTTATGTGTTAAAACAATCCCACACTTTATGTTCTGAGAAATAAGGATCAGAATTAATATTACGCACGTTGAGAATGACAATGTCACTAAACAAAATCGACGTATTTTTTACTTCTGGTAACATTTTTCTTTGATAAGTATAAACTTTAAAATGCAAAGATACGTAAGTTGTCTTGAACGAACGTAGTTTGCAAAGAAACTGCTAGGTGGCGTAGTGACGATACGTTGTTTAGAGGAGCGGATTACAATTTCTTGGAACTTTAAACACTCATTACTCAAAATCGCATTTTTTGCCTTCTGTCACTATCGTTCTCAGCGTACGATTTATTTAAACATTTTCTAATTTGGAACTGCTACTGTTTTGTGCCAACTCAGAGCTCGTTTATACGATGTTAATGTCGTCGTGCTTCTAGTCCATGTCGAAAAACTACACTGTTAAAGCAAAATAGGCTATAGTTATATAAATACACTATTTAAACTAACAGAGCAATGAAAAGCAATTTTCACTACTACTGTAATTTTGATAGATATCCTAAAGAATGAAGTTAAATACTGCCTCGCACTTTCGTGTCGTCTAAACGAGCTCAAAGTGCTTAATCCTAAAACAGCTTCCTATTAACAAAAATATTGAAATTATAGAGAATCTATTCATTATCCCGATTGTTAAAATACAACACAATCATTCAATAAATATGAATTGGAACAATAAATACACCGCTATTGGTTTATATTATAATGTAAATACATATTACATGCATAATATAAATTCAATAATATTAACAGCTTTATAAACGTAGGGACCACAATATATACAAAATAGAACTAATAAAATGAAAATCCTCATTACAATTCCACTGATTCAGTACAATAAAAATCACCTTTAACTAAAGGAATGTTTCCATTTCATCTATAAACAAAACATCAAACAGATTTAGCTAATTGAAATAAAACTATGTAATCAAGCCATATTTACACAGGAGGTTAAAGCAATGGCAATGAATACTTTACACTAAGCCTATACTTTAGACAATGTTTTTACACTAATCGGCTGTAATTTAAATCACACATTCTATTGATAAAGTAATACTTTCCTTGAATACACACTCCACTTAAACGGTATCTGTCAAAAGTGGCACATAATAACTTCAGGTAAATTATTGTCAAACATCAAGAAGCATGGCCGTTTTGAAAAAAAAAAAACGATAAAGTCGTTAAAACACGTTTTTACGTTTCAAATTTCAATATTTGGCAGTTCACATGCGAAATACATTTTAAATATTATGGCCAACCGAATATTTATTACCAAGACGGGGATATAGCTTTTTCAGTCTTACATTCGTTATTTACATGCATTCGTTCTATTCATATAACAATGAGAAAATCACACTTTACGGTATTCCACCGTACTGTGATATGCATATAACGCTATTAACCCTACTTTCGAATACGCCCTTAATAAACACGAATTTATCACATTTTATCCGTTTACTAATCACTAGTGTCAAATAAGTTAGGATCAATAAAAACTGGCTACATTCGGACCGCAAGAAAAGTGCAATACAGTTCAGATGCATCTAGTTATTATATTATTGAAACATATCAATGTAAATTAGACTGTATATTTATCGCATCTGTATTGAACTTCTTGCAGTTCAAATGAAGCTTATTAATCGTTTACAAATTTTATAACTTACATAAGGACGTTTGTTTTGATCTTAACACTTTATTGTGTCCGTAGCTTAACTAGGCCTTTGATTTTACAGCCCGAATTCCTAAATCCTTTTGATAGTAATAATGTATGCAATTATAATACATAACATTAACGATTACACATCGATTATTCATATAAATCGATTTCTTCAAGATTATCATGACTAGATAAATGAAATAGAATTCATTTATAAAGCTACTTAGCATGTCTAGAAACATGATTTAAAATAGTTGCTATTTATGTAATCATCTAGAAGTTTCGACCAATAATTGAAATAAATTCAGTCACTGATGACATTCTTCATTAGGTATCGAATGATCCGAATGAAGGTTACTACCATAATTATTTATAATATGGATTTAACCCACTCTGTGAGTTGAAAAATAGTTCTTGTTGCATCTATGTGTTCTTTGAGAGAGACATCACTTAAAGAGCGTATAAAACTGAAAGAATACGAGGAGGAACCACGAGTGGAGTAAATGATAGAGAGAGATAGATAACAGTGATGTGAAACATTATTTAATTACTTGTAAACCTCTTTACAATTACTGTAACTGCTTTGGCTACAGTGATTCAAATAATGATCAATCTTTACTAAAGAATAAAAGAATTAAGGAGAAGAACTTGAATTTTATTTTTATAAATTCAGTTTAGGATTGGTTTCATTAGGATGTGTGTTGGATTTGCTTTATACGCACTTATAACACAATAAAAACGTGTAAAACTCAATCAATATAAAACGATAACAATTGAAAACTGTATCCAACTCTTCAAGTGGATTTGTAAATATTGTTTCCGATTTATTATACATCTCTCCAACAAGAACTACTCTATATTCTTGAAAACAACCAACCATACGGTTGCGGTTGTATTTTGTAACAAATACATTTTATTCCCAATTCTTTACAATTCCATCACGGAAAATATTAAGAACAAAAACATACATAAGATAGAATTTCTTCTTTGTTCATCACATCAAAATTAACCGTATTGCACTCGGGCCATCAAGAAACCAACAAGTTACCGCATACGCATATTACATATCTCTCGATTATTATTTTATTATGAGAATACAATAAATCTTAGAGGACAAACAAATTCTTTTCAGTCTATCAACAATTACTATGAAATTTGCATTCATGCGGTAAATTCATTTTTGTATACCATTATACAAAACATAAATTGGCTTCTGTAAAACTTGTCGATTCTGAAATAAGGCAACCAAGTAGCCGCGTATGCATAATGATTCACCTATATTTTATTTACAGTACTTGAAGTACAAAGCGAGAACATTAATTGCAAATAGCATGTCTCGTTTCTAACCAGAGTTCAGCATAGTTTTGCACATTTGCAATATGATTGCGGCACATTAGCAGCATGGTTGCGGCACGGTTGTGGCATACTTGCAATATGATTGCGGCACGTTTGCAGCATAGTAACGGAACAGTTGCAGCATAATAGCGGCGCGGTTGCAGCGCAGTTGTGGCGCATTTGCGTCACAGTTATGAATGAGCGCTAATGCGGCGCATGTGCGTTATGCTGAGCCTTGCGTTTCCTTTGTGCGAGCATATCGTAGAACGGATTGTGGCTGATTGAGCGTCGTAGGCACTCTATCCACTCGTCCCTCTCTTCCGCCGTTGATGCGGACATTCTGAAATCAAATAAATTTATGAAGACCATAATGTTATGATTACAAATTACATACAAAATAAACATTATAAGTATTATAGGTACAGCATTCTTATGCTAATTCAATGAAATTTTGAGTATTATTACATTTTATACGTTTTACAGGTGCCACTTGAAAAATTAAAGGTCAATGGGGAGACCAAATATATATATTTTTTAGTAAGAGCGAGACGGACCTGTTTCGTAGTGGCTGTGTTAAATAGTATCTTATGTGATTGGTGAAAGACCAAACTGCCTCATACAAAGTTAGTGCATGGAGCTTGCTATAGGTTAATCAACTTAATAGAGTACAAATACAGAATATGGCTCTCTTTAACACGATTATTAACAACATATCGATGTTATACAAAATATGTGTGTAAATATTTTATGAAGATTACTTATTTATTAAATGTATAGCATGCGCCAGTCAGTGTCTTTTTTTAGATAATTGTTTTAGACAATTTTAATTGTAGACAGTTTAAACAACTATATAACGCTTAGAAAACCCTTTACAGACTCTGTGCTCACTACAGTCCATACACCCTGATTAAATGGCGGTTTTTAAAATATGTTAATGCACTACAATATACGATATACTACTCGTACAAATTAACATCACACCATGACTATTCTATTTCTCCGAAAATTAAATTTTGTCTATTAACTTTTAATAATAACATAAAAATAAAATTATCAAAATGATAATAATATCAAATTTATATTTTAGTGCATAATAGATTTTGATTCTGTTAGATTCAGATTAATTCCAAAAAATAAACGCTTTTTTAATATTTTTTTGAATTATGTAACATTTATCCATAGCTTTCGAAACAAATGATTTGAATTATCAAGAAACATAATAGAAACTTATAAGATTGCAGTTAGTATTCAACTGACATTTCTCGATAGCTTTCACAGATATTAGCATCCATCGCTTTGCTTAAACAATTCTAATTAACTTTAAATGAACTTATATTATTTATTGAATATCTTACAAAAAAAGGTGCGATCAAAATTTCTATCACATATCAAATAGTTGTAGCGTGAAATCCGCGAATTTCTTTTAAATTTCCAATTGAACCTAATTGCTTAAATTAGATAATTAGCCCCCCCCCCTGGTATCATGTTGATTTGTACGAGTTATAATTGTGTGTATTATATTTCGTGTACCTGTATACTGTGTGTTTCCCTTCGACCACTTTCCCCTCTGAGTCTGTCTTGCACGCCTTGATGAGATCTGCTCCACCGCTCGCGTACAACTCGAGACAGTGCGGCCGCTGTCTATCGCTAGCCGCGCGTACCTAACAATAGGAGTGTAGACAATTTTTTTATAATAATTGAATTTATATCTAGACATAAAATATATCTAAAAAACTTAAAAATTAAAAATCTAAAAATAACTTTAATTTCCTGCGAGAACGCCACTTCTGTCATGACGTCGCTATGACGTCGTTGAAAAGAATATCGTTCTATCAACCAGTGGCACAAAGGTCCATTAAAATTGTCAGTAGTTCAGAACGACATTATCGATACAAATTTGACATTCATTACAGCTTAAAGGCGTCATTAAAACTTAGTGAACGTTTGTGCAACTGACCGTATGTATGTATAAAATTGATTTCTCCAAGTTCTGATATGAGTAAGGACGCCACGCACTGATTGCGGTCACGTGACAAGGACCATTAATAATTTTTTTTTCATAATTAGCTAATGCAATTTTATAAATATCATAAGCATATTTGCAATAGTATATTAAACACGACCAGAAAAGAAATGTATTTATTTTCATTTACTTTCTACACTCATATTAGAATCAGGAAGATTAATTAAAAGTAATTATGATCAGGGGCGTATTCAAGTTGTAACCGGTAAATTCTCAATGAGCGTATTTATCATAGAGCCCAAGGCACCATGACTATAAAATACTTTATTTGATTTCAGAACTATTTGTACACAGCAAATTTATTCAGAACCATCGATGGGCGAAACCAACTCGCACTTATACGATTTTGGTTTTACCACCGCACGTATTTGTTAAGCAGCCATAAAGGCACTAAATTTTCTCTTTAAATATATAGTATCAAAATCTCATTATTTATCAAAGTAAAGGTGAATTTACCTTTAAACCGATAAAATATATAAAAATTTACAAAACTTAATAAAATATTTAGACTACATCACATACATTGCTAAGATTTCAATCTAAGAAAACGAAGATCACCACAACACTCAATATAAAAAAAGGAAATTTTAAATACACCCGACCGGGAAGCGAACCCAGGAACTTATTCATGGAACCTAGAAAACAGCGTGCGAACCACTGGCCTACAGAGGTAATCGTTTTAGTGTGCAAGAAAAATATTCACTTACAGATATATTTTCTAATGGAATGATGCCTCTTGGCTCTTTGTCTGTCGTGTATTCGAAGTAGTACAGGCAGTTATCGTTCAATATAAACCACCGCCTCTTCCAAGACTTATATCTGAAATAAAAAAAAAACATCTCCTTTAGATTTTGCCGTGTTCGAAAGTGATGATAACTAATAATTTCACTCAGTAGATGGCTAAAAAATATTTAGAAGAAGTAAAAGTATTTTTTACTTCTTCTTATTTGTATTTTTACAGTCATTAACTGAAAATCATACCAATTGAGTAAACCTGACGGGATGAGTATTATATTTTATGAGATCTTTTTACTTTTTAGATTCTTTAAAATATACACGCGAACCTTCCACCTTGTTTCCATAACCAACCCTCCTTATCTGGATTGAAGAAGGTGTGCATCAGATCGTTGCCGTCGTCCTCAGGTATTTTGAAAGGCTCTGTCTTTATAGAGTCGTATAATGACTGGAATAAAATAATAATAAATTTTATAGTATCTGTTTCGTTATCATGCCGCATTATCCTAGTCTTTTTAAAATCAACACCGTATAAAATATTTAGGAATTCTATTCTTTGCCTAATTTTTTAAATGTGGTATATTCCGCAAGGGCGTGGTCTGTATTTAAAAGTTAAATTAAGAATAGGAAGAATATTCTCACTAAAATTATATTATTAATTGTACTACTTTGACATAACATACAGAAGCAGAAATAATATAATTCAATAAAAGTTTTTGGTAAATTCATGTAAAAAGATAGAATTGGTAATTCAAAATTGTTTTGTTGAATGAATGTATTTAAATCGTGTAATGGCCACCTACGTGAAGTTGGCAGTATTGTGGTGACGCAAAGTACCATTAAAGTTAAGAATAAGAAGAACAAGTTCACAATATTAAGTCCTAAAAACATTACAAATAGACAGTGACGTCATCATATGACGGCATCATCATAATATGAAAAATAAGCACATCCCATTCTAAATCTTAAGTACATGATAAGAAGAATTTAATAACAAATAATTTTGATTAATTACACTCAAACATAATAACTCTGTTGGTTACTAATTGAAAATGTCGGAAACATTGAAAGGAACATCCATGAATTATAATCACAAGGCAATAACATCCCTATAACCGATTTCACTCAATAATTAAAGCCACAAACCTCAAAGATATCGAATCCAATTGTAAACGTAACTTGATGTGATCTGGAATAATATTTTCCTTCGACTGAAGTTCAAGCGAATGACATGAGAAGACACGATATCAATATAATTATCATCAATGACGCAATAAACAGTGAGATGAAGATAATAAGTTGTTGTTCATTGGCTTTGTATATTAACGGTTATTATTATGTGTTAATGTCTGCATCACAATGCATCAATCCGTCTGATATTGTCTGTTTGTAATATTTTCATACTTAATTAAATTACATCGTTATATTATACTTGAAAGATAATTATCTTATTGCTGTATGTTTGCCTTGTAATCGTTTGAGTTTTATAATAGACTTACTTTGAGTTATTATTACTTTGTTTTGTACTATTTTTAATAAGATTTAAATAAAATGTCTGCGGAACCCAGAACATTATGCAAAAGCAAATTTCTTGTACACCCTCAATTTAAGTCTGCTTTAGGAATATTTAGCAAAAATATCCTATTCAGGTTTTAAACTATCTCTATATGATACATCAAAATTCGTGCGCTTCTTAAAATTTAAAATATTCAAGCTTTCAGATAAATTAGGACTGAATTATCTATTTCTAATATTGCATCTTTGTATTAATGAACTGTAGCTGTATACAAAGGAATTTTTATACATGCTTAGATTCAAAAATTCCTAACATAATAAGGTCAGACTTGCTATTGACCAGAGTTCCCCGAAATCTAAATACTAAGAGAATTATCATAGACTAATGCAGCGGTAGTTTAGAGAATTACCTATCAAATTATAAACTCACCAAGAGCAGTTCCTGAGGTAGATCGCCGCCATTATTAATGCCTCTGTTCATAGCGACGAACTGTTCTGGCGCCGGCTTGTCCTTAACACTGGGGTTGTGCAACGAGGTATTGAGCATTATTATCGCGAAGCTGAGCACGTAACACGTGTCCGCGTTAGTAAATATGTCGGGGTTCAATTGGCAGTAGCGTTGCGCGAAACACTCCATCATTCGGTCTATTTTTTGCGCTTCGCCTGGTAACCGAAAGCTCCATAGGAATTGTCTGAAAATGAACATAGAATGTTATATTCATCAAATTATAATATTGAGAAGTATTGGAATACATTTTCATTGCTTGCTTCTTTAGGTAGAATACCTAAAACGTTAATAAAAATACCCTCACGAACAAATGTATCGCAGAAATTTTAAAAAAAATCTAATATCTCGCTATGGACTCTGGTAACTCAATTAGTAAAGCAATCCTATTTAATTTGCTATTAAATTTAATTGATTATAATTAATTTGCCTCTTCAATTCTATTGCCGCCTATCAAAAGTACTCAGATATTGTACACTGCTATTAATGCATTTAAGTAAACCTATATGAAACAAAAATAACATCACCGTCAAATAAAGATATTTCCAGTAACCGCGTAATGAAATCTCACACCTGCGATATTACAATATGTCGAAAAGTCACAACTCTGAACGCACCCTAATGTAATTACGATGCTACAGTGAGACAGATGCGAAGTGCTGAGGAAATGCTAAATGTGAAAACCATAGGAAATTCTGTATCGTTTAGGCCAACGGATGTTCTGTTATATTTTCAAAGTCGGAAAGTAGATAGTTTGAAATTCACGGAATGTATGTATATTTAGTTTCGGTTATAGTGTTTGTGCGATTTATCGCTTTTTCATAATTACTTTAAGGACCATAGGTATTTAATCTAAAATGTAATAGATAAGAACATTCTTGTTAAAATTATCCAAGTAATATAGTTGGATTTATCATAGTGCTAAGCAAACAAAATAATAATAATTTTTTACCAATATGCGTAGCGTTAAGTAACCTCCGTATTCGCAGTGTTAATATGCATAGAAGTATCAATACAATCAATTTTTTTGTACATTTTCCTGTTATTCCGTAGTAAATATATAGCAATCACATTAAACTGACGACCGGAAAAACTCGCTCATATACATACAAATAACTAATTAACAATCCAGCTCCAAAATTCCTCATTGAAAAATAATTGTGTTTTACTTTCTGATAAATTGAGGACAGAGTTCACACATAACACACTCAAGAGGTACTAATGTTCTACAAAGATTGTAACGTCGCCTAAATTTACACCACAATACGTTACAGTAAAATTCAAAATCGATTGTGATAATATAACATTTTGTATGCTCAGTGTAGGCTTAAATAACAGATGGAATTTAATATACAATGATTATGGATATTCCAAACATCTCGATGATTTTGTGCCGATATCTAATTATAAAGAAAACAATATAAGAAAGGTTAATGTATGAAATACCGAAATGATTACTAAATAGTTAATAAATAAGCAAAACAATTCAAAGAAATGTAAATTATAAACAATTTTGAAAGTGTTGAAAAAGAGGCCCCTAACGTTTTATAATATCAAGGATATTTCAAGGTAACACAGTAAATATTTCAACTTCACGTTAACACAAGTAAACGGAGATAAAGTTAGTCAAGGTAACGGTATATTATTATCAGATCGCGGTCAATATGAGAAAATATTTGGCATTTGTAATGTAAACTGATATCATAATTACACAGTGACTTTCTGAGAAGAGTATTGCGACGACTTTGTTTGTCGTAATAATGAGCTGTTGGCAAACAAAGCATTAAATAGCAATGTTTTTAGAGAACAAACGTTTATAAAGCGTCCTGAAAGATATATGGGTGTAATATTGGGCTTATTCTGGAATAATATAAATCGATCTTATTACAAATGGTACGTTACTAGCTTGTAAGGATACAAAAATTGACGTTACCGCCTGGTTTAGCGAACATTAAGGCAAAATCTCCTTAACTTCATAAGCTTCAATAAACAATGGAAACATTTTTAAAACAGTAATGTGTCGTTAATCTTTTTAATGGCTCTTTTACAAAAACATGTCTGTCTTCACTGTATACCGTTACAAACATGTCATTAAGATTGATTGCTGGTGGAGAGCAAACATTTTGAACTGATCTACCTCTGGTCGTCATTATCTACGTCAACATGGATGTTGTCGACGTCAAACAAGTAATATAGTATCAAAAAATTTCATATTACATCAAACGAAGATCAATATATTTAAGAAAAAAAAAACGCGTTCGATCTAATGATTGAAATGCTTGAATAACATGAAAAAGCAACACACAAATATAAACATTTATTCAAACACAAAAATTCTACGTTTCTCTTTCTTGTGAAACTTGAATGCAAATTGTTTCGCAGGAATATTATGCAAAAAAACATGACACTATTTTATGCAAGTCGTAGGTAAGTCACAGTTGTTTCATCAAGTACTTCCCCCACATAGTCTACAACAAAGTACAAAACTAATTGTTTCTTCATTTGTTAGAATCGAAATTTAGTGGTACTTAATGGTTTTTCAATCTTTCATGGCCATTTACATTAGAATGATAGTTTTCTACGGGACTGAATATATTGAGATTCAGTATAAAATATACGATATATATATCTGACAATAACACCCACCTGCAAATAAGTTACCCCGTGATCATGGCATTTGCAAAAACGCCAAAATATCAGGAACTCATTAAAACAAGGTAGGTACATGGTAGCTATCACGTATAAGAATTTGTATAATTTAAAATAAATTATTATTTTCGAGACAAAACTCACCTCAATGCTTGAACTAGTATTAAATCTGTGAAGTCGTGCAACTCTACGAATGCTCTGAGGACTGCCTCATTAAATTCTGACCGCTCGCCCAAGTAGTCGCCTATCGCCGTCTTGCTGAGACCCTCTCCTTTATGTAAGAACTGAGCGACATCCTCTGGCGTCCTTTGGAGCAAACCGTTTTCGTAGAGATACTCGATCCCTAAAAATAAAAAGAAATACTTGTGAAGTAGCAGTTGCGTAAACACCAAGACTTTACTTGTCTGTAAATAAATATTTTTACATCTGCTGTGACGCTACCGTTTTATAACAAATTTATGGAAATTAGTGCCGTTTGTTTGCTCCACAATAAGTCTGCGATGTCACGCTAACGAAAGACTTTAACATTACATTGTTGACAACGATTGCCTTACAAATAAAGATGGCAGAATTGTGAAAATGTTGTTTTTAAAAAACAAGTCTTGCATTCTTAAGAAGTAATGCATACCGCTAAGTGCAAATATATTTCGAGTGAATTGATAGCCTGGGGTTTCTAGTAATAGTAGCAGTAAAAGCGTGCGTTGACGTATATTGGCGTTTCAGTCAAGGCAAATGTATATGCAACATTCAATAAAACAAAGCTATACAGTTTGTGCAAATCAATTTATACGAGTTTCATTACAATTGTTCGATGTCTGATCTTTAGGCTAAATTTAGTTATCCTTGATTAAATTGCCTACCCACGGTTTACGTCAAATCAATACTGTAGCTCGTAAGGATACAAAAATTGACGTCATCATTTCAATATCAAACTCCGCAGTACCTACGTCGATATTTATGACGCTGCTCGCCTACGCTACACCATCCTGACATTAAAAATGATCTCTTATTATTTACGACCTTCAAATGCAAAAACGTCCTTAGGATTATTATTGGACAGTATAAAAAAATATAGCTTTTTACGATATGGTCAAGAAATATATAAAGCTTGTCTCTATATCTCACGCTTCAAAAGTGAATTGAATTTTTAAAAGGAATGCTATCGCTATGTACTACTTCAATGCACAAACATATTTTTAGTTGAAGAATTATCTCCGTAGTATATTTTAGGATTAATCGAGAGATAATCTGACAATGTATTCTTTCATTTGACGCAATAATAATTTAGATAGCCATTGGTGTCAACTCAGTTCACTCTCTCTAAACTTGAAATCTAACTTTAATTTGTGCTTGTTTATTCCATAGTCATATGTAATCAAAGAAATCTAATAATACTCCTGTATATTATAAAAGTTTACTTATGTATCTTAGTTATTTTCATAATTCAAGTGGACTCAACCTAAATTTAGTCTAGTTTGTGCAACAGAATTGTCTCCAACAACTTATCTAGACTTCTCAGTATAATTTATTTTTATACAAGTAGTTGCTTCTGACAAGCAATAGTTTTTCGAATAGAATATATACTTGTGGTATTTCAATGCACCGGAACATTAACCTTATAAGCGGCAGACTAGTACAATGCCTCGCGGATGTCAAGTTCATATGTCATAGGGTCCATTGATTACTATAATACTTATTTATTGTGGCCATATATCAAAATTTAGATGATTTGATATTGCTACTGTCATAAAATTTAAAATCAATTGTTGGTATGAAAACAACCAAACAGAAACTAACCTATTCATATAAAGAATGAACAACCCATAAGAACACTACTTATTACTTTCACTTTTTGCACAATTCTTGCCAAGTCATTATCCTTGATAAAGCAATTTATCTTCCCTCGAGCCAGAAGAGATACGTCAGGAGTAGTATGACCATCGTATTATATATATGCTTCTGTACCTACAGTCGCAACGTAGAGATACGAAGCGATTGTTAAAGTGTACCAAATTGCAGATAGCCCCATTTGCATGAAGAATTGTTGTCTGTTATAATTTGAGAAAAGAATCTTGCAACGCTGTACCAGATGACGAAAATGATGATAAACTAGCGTATATTAACGATGATATTCCAACATCTTCAAGGTGAGTGATTAGACGAATAAGCATTCATAGCGATTAAAAAATTTATAAGCGTGACGAATAGACAACGTATTATTGTAATACGTATACTATTTTAGGAGTGAGCACGATGCAATTTTAATAAATTCCCATGGTAGAACTAAACATGCCGATCCGTTCAATTTATATGCATATCCAGTAGATAAAGAAGCCCTTGATGTCGCGAGCGTGTATGCATTATTGTTTGAATTATGCAAGACTACCGCATTAGTAAAGGATTAAATTGGAATTATGTAAAAGAGCTGGTGCAATGCTGACAGGATTTTTTCTAAGTAGCACTTTGTTCATGTACCAGTCCAATACAGTGCAATGTTCAAGTAATAAGTCTTCTGTATAGCACCAAAATATATAAGAACAAACACTGAAACATTATAAGTGAACAATAAATGCCGCCTCGTTTAGATTGAAAAATAAACAGTGAAACAAAGCTAGAGATCATAGTCCTCCCCAAACTAACGAGCACACTTGAGAATAAGCAGTGCAAGGAACATAATACTCAACGGAGTTCCAATTGTTTATCCACTCCCGTCTCGTCCTCGAGGACGTACTTCTCAGCAACGTGACCTAATTGTCCGATTTAAAACACACGCTTCAAACATTTTTAATGGTAACAACAACCTTTGAAATTATTGGAATACCAATATTGATAATAAACGAATACTAATGATGACGATAACACTGAACAAACAAAATTACTGTCATAGTACGTTCAAAGACTTCCTAATCGAATAGAAGCATAACGATGAATATATTGTCGGTACTAACGATTGACGTCTATGTCATAGTATGAAGTCATCAATACAGTCATTCGGTGGCGTGAAGGCATTTTATTACACCATAGAATACGAAGTATCTCCTAAATGTAAGATGATTATTTTAAAAATAAATATTTTAAAGATTATTAGATAAAAATATCAAAGGGAAATTTGCTGACCCTAAACAAGTACTTACTCAACGGTGAAGATTAAAGATAAAGTCAATTATACGTTTATTTTCACCTTGTTAGAATTCTCCGAAGTTTGTTGTTAGAAGTCTCTCGCAAAACGTAGTAGAAGCGTCCCGCTAATGAGGGCGACTCACATTTGTGTCGCGGACGATAATAAATTTATAAAATACCACAAAAGGAACGTTGGGCAGGTGTAATCATAAGAGTGCAGGAATAGAACAATTTACTGAATGTCGACGAGCGACCGTTCGAGTCGTGGGAACGGTACACCTGTCCGACATACCATGAAAATAACAATGCAATCAATTTATACGAGTAACTTTTAAATGATATTCCATAATACATTGTATTTATTTATGAATCACATCATAAATCAGAAGATAAAACTCTAAAACTCGTAATACTTTAGCACCAAAGATATTTAATATTAAAACGGTGTCAAGAAATATGTATTTCAGTTAATCGATATTTTGCAAATTGATGATAGTCTTGATTGCAAATAACACAATCAAAATTTTCATAATCGAAATAACATAAGAGAGAATGTAACTCACCTTTCTTTGGGTCCATGTTGAACTTCTTTCTGCCTATACTCATCTGTTTGGCTTTGCTATTCTGTTTGCACTCCTCCTGCCCGTCCAACGCTTCCAGCTCAGCCACCACTTCACCAAGTTCATCTTTAAGTTGCTGAAATGAAAGAAAAAGAACATTAAATTACAACTGAAAATTCAACAAAGAGAATATGTTATATCTATACACGAAGTCATGTATCAATAATATATGTGAAACTTACAAATTCTACATTAAAAACAATTGCAAATGACTCTGTAAGACGGAAAAAAGAAAAGTTATGGTAAATATATTATTTTAAAAGACTCATATAGTCCTATTAATATTATAAAGGCGAAAGTTTGTAAGTATGGATGTATGGATGTTTGTTACTCTTTCACGAAAAAACTACTGGACGGATTTGGATAAAACTTTACAGCAATATAGGTTATACATCAGAATAACACATAGGGTACTTTTTACTGGGAAAACTTCTCACTCCCACGGGATACCGACTTCCACGCGGACGAAGTCGCGGGCGTCCACTAGTATTTAATATTCTTAAGCCGACACATTCGGTTAAGTAATTATTTTATAATAATTGTGACTTAATGAAACTCGAGTGTGCCGACCCAATGTATGTAGAAAATGCTCTGCCATGCCCACAATAAAATAAATAAGAATAGATAAATTAAGAAATTTACAATTAATAATATTTGTTTGTGAAAGAAACATAAAAGAAGTTGTCACATCAAGAATTGAATAAGATCGGCAGGTGAACCGCAAGGCTAACCGCAACTAGACTACACCGGTTAGTTGAATCGATAGAATGTCTGTATCTATCTAAATATTACCCGTAAGGTTTGTTCTCTGAGAAACATTCTTGCTTTACTCAGTTTTTGCTTGCAAAGTTGCAATTACTAAGTACAATGCTGCGAATAGGAGCGTAAAGTAGTTTTTTTTTATTTTTATTTTATAGATAGATATACATGAAATATATCTAAAAATCTTATTTATAAAATTATCATTCATATAATAAGTTAAAATCTAAAAATAATTAAATTTGACTATAAACTGGGCAGGTCACACAATTAGAGGAAGTGAAAAATGGTCAAAATTAGTATAAGGTTGAATTCTCTAAGTTCTTATATGAATAAGGACGTTACGCGCTGATTACGGTCACGTGACAAGGACCATTAAATATTTGTTTTTTCATAATTAGTTAAAGCAATATTATAAATATCATAAGCATAATAGTGTAATTATTGGTAATAGTATATAAAGCACTACCAGAAAAAAAAGTATTTATTTTCGTTTACTGTCTACACCAGTATTGTATGTAACATTCAAGTTTTACAAATTGTGCAAGATTAATTTACGTATGCCCACTTTAACTATGAAATTATCTGTAAATTGTTATTATTATGTCTGAAATAAAGTGTTTATCTATTTATATATCTAACTAATATATTTATTGTGATGTATATTTATAAAAAAATTGTATTAATAATTATTGATTATTTTAGGTTGCACTCGTTTGATGCTGGAACGTGTCTCTAGCTTCATATAAAACGATTTGCGAAATCTTTACAAACCCGTGTATCTGTCTTTAGAAGTTAATGGATGTCGACCTTTCCTAAATCCTTTTTACGTAGTAGTACCTTGTAACATGAGACTTTTACTATCAGCGCCAAGAGAATCGTAATAAAATCTAAGAAGGGCACAAACAAGATTTATAACCACGTTGGGGTATTACAAATTTTTTACACACATAGAACAGTAAAAATATAGATATGCCCTTTTGTTCGAAGATCATGTAGGTAGATAACATAACAAGAGGTTGACATTATGATTATCATCGATCATAATGACTTGCTAATAGCCACAATCGCATTATTAACTTGCTACTAACTACTGCTAGGTGCAAATAAAGTTCAAGTGCTAAAATCGTGCGTCTTGAATGATAGAATGTGTCAGCCTACTAATCAATTGGAACAGCCGTAAAGGTCGTCTAGAGAATCTATTCCATACTTTTTGCAGTCTGTCTTAGATTCTGGTAGATAATATTGGATATTCACTCAAACATAAAAGTGAACGACATAATGATACATATTAAGATATACGATATTCCACATGGTGTTGATGAGACAACAGCTGATGTCTAAGTGTTATTAGTGAAAGCTCAATCTAAAAGTATACAAGATAAGCGAAAGTACATAACGTACCACCATGAACAAAAGTTAGATAACACGGCGCTTCCAAATCACGATTTGAAAAGTAACTATTGAAATCAAATAAAAAAAAAGAAAAAGAATTTTATTATAAAGGAAAGTTAATAATTGACTTTGATTGGTGAAACGAAGATGATATTGAACATTTTATTGATAAAAATTTACTATTTGACTGTAGAGAAATTAAGTGTCATATCAATTTACTCGGTGGTTACATTCCATTATCCATAAAAAATTTAATGAACGTATAAATATCTCCATTAAAAGAGAACACTAAAAATATGCTAATAAAAATATTATAGCCGTTCTTTCAATAACTCTGTTGCTTTTACAGCACAAAAACCCGTCTAGACAGGGTTGTTCCTGAACACCACTGCGCCTACATCAAGCTCGGAATTCGTACTTATTTAATCCAAGATTCACCGTAAACCAAACTGTGGTGTGTGAGTCAGTTTGCGTTTTGCATATGTGGGTGAAGGGGAGTGGTATTTTCCCTAGGGTACCTTAACGTTCGAATAAAAATTATCCGTAATTATGTAGTAGAATAATATAGTAATCAAAACACAATGGGAGTCTTGAGTCAACGCTTAAATAACTTCTAATTAACCGATTATCCATTTGGAAAGTGAGACTAAAGTAGATTAAGTAATTACTATGTTGTATTAAGCATATTCTCAACTCGTATGATTAGATATAATAATAAAGATAATTGAAATTTTGAATTAATGTACAAAAGTTTATGGGACACACACATACACACACACACGCACATAGAGAGAAAACTATACACTTACTAATTAAAATTAAAAAGTTGTAACTATTTCATATTTTAAGTCTTTTGTTAATACTTTCTGATAAGGAGGAGCGAGATCTCCTGGAACAAGCGCCTGCTTTGGCACTTAAAAGGAGGTCTCAACCTATGTACTGAAAATGTAAATGTTTTGGACAATAAAATATTATTATATTATTATATTATTATTATTATAAAAGTTTATGGGAATTCGCGGGCAACCCTCATTAACTTTTTAAATCCAGTGTAAAAACGAATTGCACCGTATTCTATTTTAAGCAGCATTTTACTGTTAACACTATCCCCAAGAACGATTCATTTGCCTATTATTAATAAAGTTAAGTAAATTATTAAAAAGTACATTTGTAAATTATCGGTTTATTTTATTTCAGCAAAATAGAGTCAAAAGATGTTGCGGAAGTTTATTACAATTATTCTATAACTACGCCATCTTGCAGGCAGACGGTATACATGACCTCAATTTTGTTAATGATAACATAACAATAGTTTTACATTCGTTTGCATTTTTTCGTTGTATTATGTACCCTAGAGCCCTATATACATATTTTTGTGATTTTAAAATACCTATATTGACAATTGAAACACCAATGACACACCATATTTTTTGAGCTTCAGTTTATATTGTTTTATAATAATCAGAATAACATGTCGCACGGAATCCCTAAATAAGTATTATAAATAAATAACATTGACACCTGAATTTGTAAAAATTGATAAAGAGCTGTACACAGTTCTCAGTAGTACACGTAACGCATTCTGCAATTGTCGGCAGCGCCATATCCGTTATTATTATAAACAATGAGCCGTGTGGTAAAAGTGTGACCCAGGAAATTGCAGGTTACATAATAAATCCAAGTTACCAAGCTTTCTATAATTCGACAATTTAACCAATAACAAAAAACAGTCTCGGCTCTAGAAGTAGTGTAACAAGCTCCTATAATGTGATTTAAAAAATTAATACTGCACTCATTCACAGACGTGGTTTGACTGTAATAATAAACAACTTATAATAAAACAGTCTTAAAAAAACATAAAAAAAATTTTTTTTACTAAAACACCACTAAGAATTTCCTTTTTGTAAACTGCATATTCTTTTCTTCGTACGTTTAATTGTTACTTACGAATGGGGTGTGAACTTACTAATTGTACAACTTTACAAATCGAAATATTAGGTTGGGGAAAAGTCTTCGCATATAGTATGCCTAAACTTGTAATAAAGTCTTTCTGGCGATACCATTTGTATCTGGCTGGTTTCAGTACCTTTAAAAAATTTAGATTTTATAGAAAGTTACTCCGAATTCGAATAAGGAAAATTTGTGATTTTCATTTGTTTTCTTTACTGGCCAAATGAGTGAATCTAGTGAAGAAATTCGATATATTTTAAAATTTTATTACAAAAAACTTAAAAATGCAACTCATGCTGCGATGAAAATTTGTTACGTTTATGGTCCTAATGCAGTTTCTGTGAGTACCACAAAATTGGTTTAAGCGTTTTCAATCTGGAAATTTTGATGTCAAAGATGCACGTCGCTACGGATAAAATGGATGCCATTTTTAAAAAATGAAGCAAGATCGGCATATCAATAGTTACGACGTAGCTGAAGAACTGGGGATTGACCACAAAACAGTCTTGGCGCATTTAAAAAAAAGCTGTAAAGCTTTGTGTTTAGATAGTGTCAGGTTAACATCACGCGAGGTCTGCCAAAACCACTTGTCGGGGTTTTTTGATCAGAAGCTCCAAAATTTATATGGCAATGAGATCATGTCCCTACCTACAAGATCGCAAAGAGTTATCTTTTAGAGAGTTATCGCAAAGAGTTATATACTTTAGTTAAATATAAAAAAAAAACTGTAATAAAAAATGTTTTGACTTTTCATATATGAAGAATGCAAAGAACTTTTTCCCCAACCTATTATGAAACGATATACTAATAAAAGATCTTATGTTGAATAATTATCAACAGCAGGACTACCGACATTCGTCAGAACTAAAAAGAAAAAAATCTATATTATCTAAATTACAATTGATTACTATCTATAGATCTATTACTGTGTCACTATCCACCACCATGTCCATGTCCACCGTAAAATATCAA